ATGAAAAGAGGTTATAGACTTTTCTTAGCTTAATAATAAAAAAAGCAATATACTGTTATTAATATTTTAAATATAGAAATTAGGGGTTTTGTGTCGGTTATGATGAACATGTCTTGTTAGAAAGTATATTAAAGATAAAACAAATACTCCAAACAATGTAATTCTGACTGGAAAGGGCTGCTGTCTTTCTAGACTTCAAGGAGTGATATTGGGAAAAGATAAGAGGTTGTGTGTGAGGATTAGTATAGGATTGGATGTAATGTAGACTTTTTTGAAGCTGGATCTTCGAACTTCTTTTATAAAGATTTATTGAGACATTTAAGTCGGTAAAAATCGTGGCTCCAGTACCTATGAGGTGGCGTTGGTCTGATTTTATGCAAAATTTACATTCGTATAACGTTATTTCGAAGTGTTAACACTGAACAAAATAATGTTAAAAAAGTGTTTTTTTCGACAGAAAAGTGGTTAATTTATCAAAACATCATATCTAGGCATCGCATTAAGATAAAAACTACGGTCGATCTCATTCTACTCAAATTTTAATGCTGGAAAATTTTTTTTCTTCGATACGTATTTTGAGACATTTGACAAAAAAAATCTTAAAAACACGGTTTTTAGAGGTTTTTCTCATAGAAGGCTTCATTTGAGGACCTACGTTAAGAGCTTTTTTGTTCAGCATGAAATTTTCTATAAATCCTTAAAGTAACTTTGTTTCGTTTGTGCTCACTATACTTAAAATATATAACTGCGTAAAGTATTAGAAACTATCTACCTAATCGCGTAGATTGTTTTTAAGTCATTGTTAAACTTATTAAGAAGAAAATTGTATGTTAGTAATAGTTTTTAATTATATAGTTTTGTACAAATTGCCAATCTGAAAACGCGTTATGTTTTTTGTTTTCGGCGTGCCCCCGAAAATTGAAAGATTGCCTGGTTGTTTAAAAAAAAGGATCCAGTTTAATTACCGGAATTATTCCAGCGGATGGAAATATGAGAAGGATCTCCAGAGGCCGGACTGTGCGTTTACGACGGGTTCCACAGCCTGGACATTATCCTTGTAATTATGTTGCAAAACGTAGCCCTCCTCGGGGACTTGAAAGGGGCGCTTTTTTTGTGTAAATGTGTTCTCATTTTGGACGATAGTTAGCACGGGTAAATGGCCAATTGCATAATGTTTAATTGAAACTAATTGACGGCCCTTTCATTATGCGTTGTCGTCTAAGAATACCCTAGAAAATGTCACTGACAATTAACCGATTATTTAATAAGCCTTTTTATGTAAGACAAATTGGGGAATCTGAAAATTAAACGAAATTGCGTTAAAACCGGTTACCACTACCTTTATGAAGAATGTACAATTTTATTTTTAACCAATAGTAGACGTTTTTGGATAACTTACACTCATTTAAGTTCATCGCTCACGAACTCTTTACGTTGTAACCAACTGTAGTCAATAAAGCAGAACTTTGCAATATTCAGCGAACTATTTTCAAAGATATTATCCAAATTATGCCTTTGTGATTTTTCCACTGTTTCCGCTGTGGGGAATATGTAAAAACAAACAGATACACAAAATTTGAAAACTTTACTGTGGAAAAACATGGGGGAAATCTGAAATCTGCTGGAACCAAAAGCTTTTTGCATTTACTAAACAATAATACATTATGAGGTTCCATCACAAAGAGGTACAAACTTTAAAAGAAATACTGACGAAGGGAGATGAAAAAGGTAACTCGAGATGTAAGTGAGTGAATGAGAAGAGAGAGAAAGAGAGAAATAGAGAAGAAATCACAAAGAGGTACAAACTTTAAAAGAAATACTGACGAAGGAAGATGAAAAAGGTAACTCGAGGTGTAAGTGAGTGAATGAGAAGAGAGAGAAAGAGAGAGAGAGAGAGAGAGAGAGAGAGAGAGAAAGAGAGAGAAATAGAGAAGAAATGGTAAAGAACAGGGTGAGAGACAGGCGAAACAATCAAGATTGAATTATTTATTTTACACTTGTAGGATACCTAAAATTAAAATGAAAAATTATGTAAAATTAAATTTATTATATTTAGTGATCTATTGACCAAATTACTTCTTTCAATTAATTAATCCTTTTATGTAAGGTTTTGGTCGAAATGAAAAATTCAGTGCCACGAGAAGGATTCGAACCCGCGACTTTCGGCTAAAATACGCCGTTGCTCTACCCCTTGAGCTATCGTGACTTCGATCCACTCGGATACCAACTCCCCATTTCAATCTACAACCTTTCGAATTGAAAACTGGCAGAAAGGAGGGAAAATTCGAAAGGTTGTAGTTTGAGATGGGGAGTTGGTGTCCGAGTGGACCGAAGTCACGATAGCTCAAGTGGTAGAGCAGCGGCGTATTTAGCCGAAGGTCTTGGGTTCGAATCCCGCTCATGGCACTGACTTTTTCATTTCAAGCAAAACCTTACATAAAAGGTAAAATTAAACATCAAAATAAAGGATTCTTCTTTTATATACCTATTGTATAAACAATTTCTTAACTAAATAGGATTTTTTTTATTCATTAGTCTTTATTTAATTTATAATATACAGTACCTATGTATAAGTGCAATTAATTTTTAAAATTAAAGACAGGCTGTTTGGTTATATTAACCGTCAAGAAGATTAAATTATTTTATAATTTGTTAGAACAATTATTTCATAGCTACTATAGTTATAGATATCCTTCATGAATGTGTAAATTATACCTGGTTGTCGATCGTTGTGTACTCTGTTTAAGGGAGTATCGTGCTTCCAGTCAAGAAAAGCGTTGACTTATTTAGTTGAAATCTATTCTTCCAGCCAATTACAAAAGCTGAATTGGTTTTTTGCCGTTCGATAACGCGGAAAACGACGTTCTGGCGAAAGATCTAAAGCAAGAATAATTTATTTAACGTAAAAAGCCGAGAACAACCGGGAAAGTGTAGAAAAAGGTTTAAAAAAAGCACGTCACCAGTGTACGTGCCCATGGGTGTCCGATTGTCCAGTGTTCTACACGTGCATTCGAAACGCGACTTTTCTCAACTTGGTGCAACTAAATCAAGTGTCAACAGAAACAGACCGGAAAGAGGTCGGACACGTATGAAACGAGGAAAAGTTCTAACTTTATTACAACCTTTCTTTCATTCATACATTCTCAGAAAAAAAGCGATTAGATTTTATTTTAAACCAATGTTCTTCGCGTTTCTGTCTTACCAAACGTTTTCCGACCCTTTGTCTGCAACCGTTTTAGAAACGTTTGTATGTTAATGCAAAAAAGCGGCGGAACATAGATAACATGATGCACCGATGCAGACAATGGATCAAGGATCGATGAACCGATTGGACCAAGGACATTCAGCCTCCTCCGAAGTCAAACAAGTGCATAATCCTATCAGTGACGAGTATCTTCAAACGTCTAAGAATGACTTAAGGTTTAATTTACGCGGTTTTGACATTGAACGAGTGATATATCAAGGATACATCAAGAAGATGGAGAGAATATAATTGGTAATATATTTCAGGCATAGTACACGCAAATTTTTACACATTTCGTTTACATTATTCATATTAAAATGGACAGTAGAACAGTATGACTCATGGCTAAAATTAAACCAGTAAAATGTGAAATATTACCACCTCGGTGTCCTCGATGTCTTAAGAGAATGAAGTTTTTCGAGAAAGATACCATCTTCGTAGAGTAGAGAAGCAACTCACTTCATCTTCAGCTTTGAAAACAAAGCACGGAAACAGTAGTTTAGTTCCTTCCAATTTTTTCGCGAGTTCGCTGGTAGAAGTTTTATGTAAAACTTTAACGAAAAATGTTTTATGAAAATTAAATCAAACATAATCTTATTAGAAGAAAATATGCAAGACCATCTATAGGCCCAGAACCTAATATTGGGATAACAAATTCTAACATACTACTCCATCTCAGAATGGTTCCATACAAAACAAAAATGGACGACCTACAGCAGTGCCAGACAGTAAACCAATGGTTAAAGAACAGGAAATACATAATGGAGTAAAATTAAAGGGAGTGATAGGCTGACTTGAATCACTCACGTGATGGACGGACTAAAAACAACTAACAAAGAAGAAATACAAAACTAGGTTAAAAACCTAGCATAACAATGGTTACAATCCCAATAATTAGAAAACTTGTAAACAAAAAACAGTAAACAACACCTTATACGAAAACAGACATAAACTGGGCCAAATTCACATAAATAAGGAAAGAAACATACAAAATAACAAAAATTTAGGCCTAAAGTATGCACTGAAGAAAACATACAAAATTAGAAAACTACTGAAGCAAAATGCTAAGACTTGCCATCTAGAAGAAAACGGTGTACAGATCATATTTTAATCACATCTTAAAACAACACAAAATTATATCTTATACAAAACTATCACAAACAAGAAAAACTGATATAGTTTTATTATAAAAAAATAAATAATAAAAATAAGTATACCATTACACTTTCGACAAAGCATTACATTCAAAAGCAGCACACTTACTTAAACCATATATCTCTGAGATAAGAAAATGACTTTTATTTACAGATTGAAGTTATAATGTAGCTAATAAAGTTAACGTAGAAAAATAAATTTTACAATAATACCAATTCGTCACATTCAGTATTCCATTCAAAATGAACTGAAGAGCACATTTTTCCGATCAACATCGAGTTATGTATGACAGCTTGATAGTGGTCGTATAGGGTGTCGTGCAGTCAAATTGTACTCCCATTAATTTCCTTATCGCCTCAAAGTACATTACAAAACAATTATTCTTGTTGTTCGCAATATGAGGAGATATCAGTTGCTGTTCCATCAAGAAGAAACCAGCAGTGTAATTTTGACGAGGTGCTGAATATTTTACTATATGTTTGTGAAAATCCGAATTCCTCCCTCCGAAATGTTGTAAGGGCTTTAGGTTTTTCAAAAAATAAAATTACAGATGTACTAGAGATATAGAGAGGATAGAGAAGGACCAGAAATACTCATAACATTTCTACTAAATAATAATTCTATATTTACAAAAGAGTTATGAGGTAACTTCTTTGGAATCACGAGTGTCAACCATTTCACCAGCTCCAAGTTCAAGAATCAAAGCTTTTTTGTCAATAAAGTAATCCCTGTACCACATGATGTGCGCTTTCTTCTCTTCAGCAGTGAGCCAATGGTTACGTGACAGACCGACACAAACGAGGTCCATGAAATTTCTTATCGGTCCTCTGTCGGGGCACCATCCTTCTAGGTGATTTTCAAGGAAGACGTGATCTTCAAAGGACACTTTCTTCTCCTCGTCTAATCCTAACAATAATTTATATTTTATTTTTGTTTAACATGGTTACATTTTAACCAACCTTGTTCGTTATCTATTGGAAATTTCCAAAGAATGCCCCTCTCTGTCCAGATCATCATCTGCTCCCAATAATTTGTAGGTGGGTGCGTTATAGCCATTTTTCGCTCTCTTGATTTGCACTTCTCCCAAGTCGACATGACAGGGATGTTTTTATTGTCATTATCAACTTGGAACCAATTGAGTGGTGCAGCACCAAAAATATTCACCCTAGGCATACTAAATAATACAATTATTTAATAAAAAGTTAACAATTTGTTATATGAGAAAAACAATATACTTACTTGGCAGAAAATTCTCTCGGCGGTCTTAAGCTTTTTTCTCTAAGAGCATCACGTACCTGATCCGACCGGGACCTGGACCATTCCGGAGCTATATTTCTAGTACTCTTTTCATCTGTTTCAACTCTCATACCGGATAACAGTTGGCTACAAGACAGCATATTCAATAAAATAAAAAATAATAATAATTAAAAAAGTCTTACCTCAGAGTTTCATTTTTTGAAGCTTTTAAAATGGATTTTTGCAGTTTTTCATTTTTGTAAAGCATTTTAAAAAGAAGTTCCGCCTCAGCTTTTTGAGGGTTTTCCATTTTTTTCACAACTTCTTTAGCTGCAACCGTAATCTTTTCTCCTAAAAACAAAAATTGTACAAAGTAGTGAATAATATTTTAATGAATTTATGACTGAAATGCTACCGAGTTCTGTAGACCTTGGCTTAATAGGCTTAATTTTTTTAAATTTGGAATTTTCCATTTTCTCTGAAGCTTTGGCTTCGTTTGTCGTTGTGTTTTCCTAAAAAGACGTACAATTCAAATAAATAAAATTTTTCGTCTAGTTATTATTGTTATTAAAAAGCAAAAATATAAGAAAAAATATAAGAAAAATATCAAGGAGAAAGAGCATAATGGTATAAGATATTTATCTATTTTTCAAAAATTACGGATACACTGAACAATGATTAATAATAAATACATATTGAAAAATATTACTTTGATTAATGATAGCAAGAGGTCGTTCATCTTTTTTTTTGCTGCTTTTTTCTTCTCATCTGATTCGTCATTACTTCTCTGTGTAGATGTTAGGGTGATGTTCCTAGATTTAATGTCTTTCGGTACTGCCCTGTAAAGTTTACAACTAGAATTAAACTCAGTTTGTTTCAATTAAAGAAAACACAACTGTCCGCAGATGTGTATTGAATGTAAATAAAATATTTATCAAGGTTCTTTGATTTGCGGAAGAAGTGCACAGCTTTTTCTGTTCATCCTTCAATCTTCCTCCTGTGTACCTCAGAGTAATAAATGTATGATTTTTTTGTCTGTTATGTCAATAACATATTTATTTGGAAGATTATGTTATGATTATGATCCTAAGGATGCAGAAACAGTAAAGTTTGGCCTCTTAGCCCTAATCTTCCATGTACATTTATGGGTTATATATTATTCAAATTATACTACCTGGCTAAAAATGATATTCTGGCTGGTATCATCGTTGACTTCTTGAAATAAAATAACTTTAAAAATCCCTTAGCTAATATAGACACTATTTTCAGAATCTCGTGATAAATAGCAAGACTAGAGGTTATACAGTGGTTCTTGAATGCTTGTTTAGGTTTCAGAGCTGTTATATATTTGTCTTTGATAGAGAACAAGTGTTATTGTGACGTTTTGTCAGGTTTTTGGCTTTTTTTTTGCAGAAAAAAATCTTTTTCTGTATTTCCCTGATAAAACCGAATGTACTGGGTGGAAGTGAAGGACCATACGGTCGAAGGGCCTTAATTTCATCTGAGCATGCGATCTAGAAGGAGAAAGCTGTGAAGGCGAAACTCGTCTCTGAGGCTTTTACTTTTTATTTTTAACACGGGGAGATGGATGCTGTTCCGGACCGCTGGGACGAAAGCCAGCTCCGGAGCTATGACATACCGCTTACAACTATTCCTAAGTACGACGTCCAGGATCCAAGGGTGGAAGAGCTCATCTCCCAACATGTAATTTTTTCTTTTCGACCCTCATTTCAACCCTAATCTGAACATGTTTCATATTTTAGAAACCCGTCGTCATCATGAATTCAGGGCTTGTAGCATCTGCAATGAAATGGGACATCAACTACCTTGCGAACCACATGAGCAACACCAGCTGTACGGTCATCATATCAAAGAACCACAAGTTCAAGTACTATGATGTCAGGACCGTCTTGCCATCGGTGAAGGCCAAGTTTACCCCTCCAACCAGACAGATGACAATGAAGGTCGCCGATTTCGCTAAAAGGCTGAAAGAATGGAAGAAAGGCGATGAAAGGTAAGCACTAGTTTATAACCCTAAGGGTCACCCAATATGTAAGCTAAGTCCTAAAATGAATTTTTTTAATAATTGATTATGAATACCAGGAACTGGAGGAGTTCCTCCTGACCTACAGCTTTATTGTACTCCTGGTTTCATTTTGGGAACTCCCATCAACACGTGGGAAAATTGAGCCTTCAGTGTGATGGTGTTCTATCGAAGAGACTCATTTTTGAAAGTGGGTTGGGATTGAATTCAAGGTGTCTGAGACCTGATCCCACCAGGTCATCCATTGATGAGTGCCATGTCAACTTTTATTGCTGCCACCGCTCCTCTTATGTGTCAGAAAAATTCAGTGGTGATGTGGTAATCAAGCGCCTCGGCTACCTCAATCCCCTTAAAATGTCATGATAACACCCATGATCACTTATACAATTTACTTACTTATGCAAATGTATGGTGGCCAAAAATAGAACAAAGAAAGGCAGTGAAAATACTATAAAAATGCAAAGTATATAGCCATCTACTGGTGATACCAACTTTATGGTTATGTGAACTTTATGATAGTAAGTAAAGTAGTACCTGTCATGCAGGAGGACTTAAGAGACAAAGGATCAAACGGCTTTACAATGCAATTTTGCTATTTTAGTCCTTTAAAAACAATGAGCTCTGTTTGTGTTAGAACCTAGAATCACCGCTGAAGATGGTGAAAAAGTGAAACATACCCGAAAGGCCAAAACTGCAAGAATAGGCTGACTAATGATTGGATGATTAGTTTCATTAAAACTATAGAGAAAATATAATTTATTTATTTTTATTTTATTTTTATAGATTCTATCTACAGCAAATACTAAACAACACTGTCGGACCAGGTATTGTCCATGATTTTTTAAAATTCAGGTGGGACTGGATACGTGGTATCCAAAAGAAGATGAGGTGGGGTGAATTAACATCGAATCTACTACTCATAGGAATGGAAGGTAAATTTTACAACACACTGCAGAAACAAACACATTTCTTTATGGTTACTAAATTTTTTATACCTTTCTTTTTTTACGAATGGAAACTTATGTTCCACTGTTCTACACTTTTATGCCTTGGCTGTGACCATGTGAAAAAAATTTTTTTTATCACATTTGCAATATGTATAGTGTACAAAAAAAAAAGTGGATTATATTTTTTTACATATTTTGTGTATTGCAGTTAATTTTTATATTTCAGGAAATGTAACGCCGTGTCATTATGATGAACAAGAGAACATTTTCGCTCAAGTGCGGGGTTTCAAAAGGTTTATTTTATTTCCCCCAGAGCAGTTTGCATGTTTCTACCCGCATCCTGTTTATCATCCTCATGACAGGCAAAGCCAGGTAAGCCATTTTAAATATCCATTTGGAACATCAGCAAACCTCTAAAATGTTTCCAGGTAGACTTTGATAGCCCTGATTTGGAAAAGTTTCCAAAATTCGCCGAGGTCAGGGGAGAAGAGGCAATCGTCGGCCCCGGTGACATATTATACATACCAATTTACTGGTGGCACCACGTCGAGTCGCTCATGAATGGCGGGTATACCGTCTCTGTGAACTTCTGGTGCAAAGTAACTTATTGAAGCCTTTAAATTACAATTTTCTATTGAGAAGTCAGGGAAGGGGATAAGGTCAATTTGAAAGAAAAAGAAAACAATCACTTCGTCAAGCCATTTTCAAATTTTATTCCTATATCAACTTGGAATATATAACAGGCTGACCAACTAGCCAAAGAATGAGCAACCCTGTCTCCCACAAGTCTTGAAAAAGAAAAATCCAACTATAGGACAAAAGCAGCAAATATAGGATAGGGTAGCTTTATGATTTATAAATCTGTCAAAAATGAAGGCACAGGTTTTCATGCCAATAGTCCAAGCGTGCAAAGAGGCACTGAGGAAAGTGCTGTTTTACGGGAAAAAGTGCGCTTTTCATGGTGTGTCAATAAACTCATTATTAGCTTTAGTCCTGATGAAGGCTTATTCCTGATTTTTCAATACAAAATTATAATATTAATGGCTGATGTAAATTATAACCATAAATGACATTAAAAATTTATTTATTTTTATATTTCAGGCAGGTCCTATCGGTGAGATTATTTATCCTCTCAGGGGTGATCAGAAGGTCACGATAATGAGGAACATTGAAAAAACTCTTGTCGAGGCGCTTAAGGACCCTGAGGATGTTGGGCCCCTTCTGAGAGCCATCGTATTGGGAAGGTACACAGAAGAATCTGAAGAAATTTAATTCCCCATAAAGATGCATTTCTTTATATATATTTTATGATAAAAAGTTGTAATTATTAAAAGAACAATGGTGAACAGTGGTGGGACACTTTACTCAAATTATGGTTCATTATGGCAAATATTTGGAGTTTTATCTGATAAATGTGAGAGAACTGTATTTCCTCAGAATTTGATTTATATAATATTACATAAATAAACAAATAATATGTAAAAAAGATCTGTTATATTATAACTCAAATTTGAATGATATGATTAATCAAGTGGTAATATTTAGTTATTTATTATTTAATGAAATTATGTAAAAATATACTTTTTTCTTTTTAAAATTCTAAATTGTACATAAATGCTTACCTTTTACATTTACACCAGGATCTACTAATGAAACTCAAATCCTTCCTTTCTGCACATACTATCTTATAAAATCCTACCAATCCTCAACCTCTTTGATCAATTAATCCTCTCTGGAGTTCCCCGAGGGAGCATCCTAGGTCCATTTCTTTTCAGAAAAGCATACATTCCTCAACACCCTTGCACAATCACCCTATGTCCCGATACAACCTCTTTGCAAACCTTGATCCTGTCAAAGTTCAATTCCTTCGAGACCCTAAATCATCCATGTCTGCACTAACTCTACTGTGGGTCTACTGCTAAAACTCCTAAAATTTTACCAATCTCAACCTCTGATCCATTTATACAGCAGACATCCCTGAACATCTTAGTACACTCACCTGCTGTCCATACAACAATTCTTTCTGCTAACCTCGATCCTATCTTAGCAGTTTGATACCTCCAAGACTGCCTTTATCTGAATCAAATGCCACTTCCTGCAGCAGATCGTATTAAATAATAGACGTGTAATAGACAATAGGTTGACATAGAAAAAAATACATGGCAGAATTACAGTAGATACAGGACAACAAAAAACTGCTGGACATACGTTTGACTTAGTACAAAACAAAAGAACTCCCCAGCTCCTATATGGATTTGTAACCTGTAACTGTTTGGGACTGTATGTTTCTGCCAAAAATCCTTCATATGAACACTGATCTCGAGAATAAGGTACTCCATCATCTATGACCTTTCCACTCTTACCCTTTCTAGTAATCCAGGTTGAGAGTTGCAGACCTCGTATCTGCGCACAAAAAACATTTCATCAGGTAATGTAGGGATGGTTAGGATGTGTAGTTAGGATTTTGGTTGAAAAAGCTGCCTACCGTAAAGGGTGGCTCATTCAGCAATGATCCATCAATACCATAGTGCAAGGAATCCAGTAGTTGGTAATTATTTTTAACTAAACGCTATAATTTTATTTAAGAATTTGCAAAATAATTGTGTTGCAGAATTTTTTTTTTTGTCATTTCTGTATGGATCTAAATAAAATAAATCTGGTGGAAATGAAGGAGGCTATTTGAATAAATAACATCAGACATATAATATTTGAATTCACGTACTTTTATTTTTTCAAACATTTTATTAAAACGTACAAGAAGCTATTCACCCTCCTAAATGAGAGGTGCAACCAATGAGGCACTTGTTTCATGTTCACTAGCTAAAAAAGGGTTTTGGGTATGGCAGTCGGAACGCTCAAAATAAATGGACTAGATTTGAATTAACAATTGATTTGTTTCATCTTATAATAAATCTGAAGTTTGATCCTAATTTTTAATTGTCCCAGAAATATAGTAAAAGTTTGATGAAAAAATTCTTATAGATAATTTTTTTAACCAAATTGCATCAGGTTTCTAAAATATATGTAATAAATATTAAAGAAATAAATAAATAATTGGTAATATAATACATTTTCCTTGTGGAATGTAGCTTTTCAAAATTGATATGGCAAGATAACATTCAGCAATAACAATTTTTAACATTCCTATATTGCTTATATATTATATATTTGAGTATTTACACTGTACAAAATGCTGGTTGCTTTGCCATATTCAAAACTTTAACGTTATAAAAAGAAAAGAGTAATTACTAAGAGAAAAAAAAATGGCTTGAATGGTCTGACTGATTTTAGAAGCCTTGATTAACATGAATAACGTAAAATGTTATCAATTCGAAAAAGTCAAAAGGCTGGAATTTTATTATATTTTTTTATTTTATAAAGCAGTTTCGAGAGTGGAGTTTGTTTTGTTCATGAGCTTGTGTTGCGCCTGTACCAATTGGGATGATTTGAGGTTTTCGACGGCTTCGGCCAGTGTCTGTTCGTCTTCGTCACTGCGATCTTCCGGTATCGTGGACGAGAGAACGTTGTGGTCGATGGGCTTAACCGTCGGGGTGCGGTTTTTAAGCCGTTGGACGGCCGACTCCTTGCCGACCGGCGAGGCGATGTGGCCCCAACCCTTCTGCAGGAGGAGCTTCTTGAAGTCCCTCCGCGAAGTAGGCTGCGGCGGGCCCAGCCGGTCGATAGCTAGTGATGGCCTTTCCGAGTCAGGTGGCGGCGAAGAAGGAACTAGAGTGGGTCTGTTGTAGGTCTTTCTCTGTAAATTCCTCGGTGATTCTTCCAACTTCTGGACCTGGAGCCTGGGCAGGGAGCCGAACCCACCTGACATGTTATTCTGCCTGATGTATCGCAGCTGCTGGAGCGGCGGCATCGGCTGAGGCATGTTCTTTAAAATGTTCTTCTCCAGAGGAGTTGGCTGGACCAAGTTTTTCGCGGGGATTACCTTGGGCCAGACGGGCTTGTTTTCGGACTTTGTCAGACTTTGAATTCTCTTTTTGGACTCGTGGATTACAGCGAACAGGTCCATGGCCGACCTGCTCGATTTCGGCGGTGAGTTCTTTCGGATCGGAGAGGGATTCGTCGTGAAATCCAGGTCGGACGAATGGCCCGGGGATTTCGTCGGAGTCGATGTCGACCTCGGCCACGTCGACTGACCGCTGCTGATCGAATCGTTCTTATTCCATTTAATTTCAGTTTCTTCGTTCGACGACTTGTCTCCAGCTGAAAATAAATGAAATGTCTTTTATTTCATTATTTTGAAATTTTTGAAGTAAACATTTATATATTAGTAAAAATGACAGATACGTTGTTAAAATATAATTTGCCATCTTTAGTGATTTATAAAGGAAACAAGGCGTGAAAAGACACGGCTGAAGAGTACGTAGAAGAGGATCGGAAACTGAACTACATGAGAGATTCAGCTTGCTAAGACCGAATCGTAACAAGTGGTCGACTACAATTACAAAATTGTACAGACAACAGGTGCACTTAGGTCATCCTGTTCTGCCTTTTCTCCTTCTACAGAATCAATCGCTGTCTTTAAAAGAAAATCATCTAAAAAAAGAAATATCGAGAATTGGCAAACCAGGGTAATCTTGGTGTAGTTTATCAGTATTAATATTATATAATAGTACACATGAAAAGTGAATTGATGGATTCGTGATAGTAAATAACAAACAAATCACAACAAATGATATACTAGTTCGATAGAACGTCGCCACTTCTATATGAGCTTAACAGCTTGAGATACCAAACCATTACGCAAATGACCTGCTAACAATCATGGTGGGAAAATTAGATGACAGTCTGTCGATTCAGATGCAAAAATCCCTAAACATTAACTGATCTGAGAAAATGTGTTTAAATATATAGATAAAACACGAAGACATAACTTCTCCTAAGAAACTAATATCTAGATATAACCCTTGAACAAAGACTCAAGTGGAGAAGTCATACTACCTAAGCCCCCTACCAAACAATAGCCAGAGATTATGAAACAAAGATGGGGGAATAAATCCAAAGATGGTTACAGCCCAGACCCTTGGTCACATATGGATCATTAGTATGCTAAAACACTGCATGTAGAGACATAAAACAAGCTACAGAGACCCTAAGAAAACACCTCTCATACCCTTCATAAGAAGAAAGAAGCTAAATCTAAAACCACCCACTCTAAAAGAAACTAAATACTTAGGTGTACCTTGAACAATGGCTAAAAAGTAAACAAGTAACAATCATTGGCCTGAGATTTGGTAGGAAAAATGGGGAATGAACAGCAGGATGGTACAGTGGTTACACACCACAGAACCCTCAAGATAGTGGCAAAAAACGATGTATAAGAAGGCATCAAACAAACTGCAAACACCCTAAGAAGACATCACTCATATCTTTCTTAAAAAGAAGGCAGCTAATCTGAAAATACTCACGCTAAAACATAACCATCTCCAAAGAAGGAAAGTGTAATCCCCAAATCCGCAAGTAGAGCAGTCATATAGGCAACATATACAAAAGGTCTAAGTACTACTACGCATTGACCAGAGAATGTGCAAAAAAATTAGGGAATAAACCCAAGGATGGGGTATTGGTAATACGCCACAACCCCTGGTTACATATGGAACTAGTACGGTATATGGTGAACAAAATTAATGCATAAAAGGATACAAAACTGGAAAGTGTATAAATATTAGCGTGCCTTGACATAACAGAGGCGTTGACGAATCAAAGATCGTGAAGTGGTAAGGGATGGAATTACACCCTAGCAAAACCCTTTGGACGAGTTCAACAAACGTCCAAGCTGAACCTATGAAATCCAACTCTATGTACAGGATTTGATAAAGAATAATATGATAGACAAAAGAGATTTTCATACTTAGGAAGAGTCAGGCAGCTATAAAAGCTCTCTGGGATGCCTATAATGGCACAGCAATGCAAAAGTTATTCAATCTTCAGTATTTGACAAAAAAATATTTGAATTAATTTGTATGGATGTGTTCATTTAAACTATTAGTGATGTTTGTATCAGTGGTGATGGGAGTATCGGTCGATGGTTATTGGCATAAAGAAAACGACTTTGAATCTTGGCCGACGTTTCGATTTAATTTTAAATCTTTTTCAAGGTTGTCGCTTGATATCTAAGCGTCCTCTTTTTTATTATGTTTTATTTACTGTTATCAATTGGCAAATGTTCCATGTTATTTTTCTACTCCATTGGTTGCTACCATGAGGGGAATTGTAATGGAGTAGAAAAATAACATGGAACATTTGCCAATTGATAACAATAAATAAAACATAATAAGACACTTACAAATCAAGCGACAGCCTTGAAAAAGATTTAAAATTAAATCGAAACTTAATTATTCAGAAATAGTGAGATGCGGTCTGGTGTGATGTAGGTTTCAGAAAAACATTTTCTTTATCGTGCCAACGTTTCGATTTTTACAATTAATTAAGGTTTTTAGTTGAGATGAAAAAAAGCTAATGGCCCGAGCGAGATTCGAACCCACGATCTTCGGCTAGATACGCCGCTGCTCTACCACTTGGGCTATCGTGACCTCGATCCACTCGGACATCAACTTCCTTTCTCAACCCCACCTTATGAGTTTTCCCTCCTTTTTGCCATTTTTCATCGTGGGTTCGAATCCCGCTCGTGCCATTAGCTTTTTTTCATCTCAACTAAAAACCTTAATTAATTGTAATGTATTAATTGGTCAAGCGGACAACGAAATTAGTGAATTGAAGTTTCGATCTTTATTGAGATCATCTTCAGGGCTCAAAGTGTTTGTCTTCTGTGTAAGAAAATGTTTTTCTGAAACTTACATCACACCAGACCGCATCTCACGATTTCTGAATAATTATCGATTAACGGTCACTAATCACCACACATTAAATCGAAACGTCGGTCAAGATTCGAAGTCGTTTTCTTTATGCCAACAACCATCGATTGATAATCCCATCACCACTTCAGAAAAACATTTCTGAACACACATTCGAAAAACATTGTGATACAAACATCACAATTATAATTCAACGGTCATCAAAAGTTACATTAAACTATTAGGTGAAATGATAGACATGCAGGACGAGGATGAGTCAAAATTTCCGTCTTGAGTCTGATATCAAAGAAATCTTCTATGAAAAATTCCTATCCGATTCGCTCAGTTGACTTTATGAAAAAACAGCGAGCCAAAGCGGACGAAGAGAATGAATTACTCTTTTTGAGAGACATTGAACTCTGAGAAATTTGGACTCATCCCGGTGGTTTCAGCTTCAAATAAAACATGCAAAAAACATTTAAAAAGGACATTTAGGCTCACCTGGGCTTCCTGAATCCATTGTGAAAGAACTAAACATGTCCAGTGCATAGAAAAGCCGTGCAACACCAAACTTTAGAAATAAACTATCCTTTGTTAAAAAAAAGTGAAAAAAATTATTTACAAAATAATTTGCAATTTCCGTGACCAACCGCACTGACGTTTTTAGTCTCAAATAAAGGGTTGGGATTAATATTTGTTAAGAAATGTTAAAATGATTCAGTTTTCAGTTCCAGGTGGACATGATTAAATATTTATTTATATTAAACTCCTCTGGGAATTGTTAAGCAAGTAGTTTTATAAGTCTTTTATTATATAGTAGGACAGTTAATTTCTTTTTCCTTTTTTTTTAATTATTACACACACAAAGCAAACATATACTATAAAAAAACCCATGCAATAAAACTAAAATTATTTACAATTATATACATGATAAAAAATGAAAATACATTAAAAAAGCTAATATGACATTTTTTCAGATAATTTATGACAAGGAAAACAACAAAATATAAAGCGAAACTTTTACTACGCTACATAAAACATAAAAATGCCGAAACTCAGGTACAAATGTAAACAACAAAATTGCCAACATGCACATTTACGTATATATATGTATAAAAACAATCAATAAATATAAAACTAGACAAAGCGTGATAAAAAAGTGATTATTTCACCTTATACCAATATTAAAAAACTCCATTAACACCAGTTTAATCAGTATGTGCTTGGGATTTATGGTTGTTTCGCATAAAACGAAATAATCATAAAAATATATGACAGCAATTACTTGATACATATATATTAAAATACGTGTAAAAAGTGCCTGATAATGTGGATTTTACCTGACAAGAAGCGTATTGAAAATGTCCTCGGTGAATTTCATCATACGTTCTATAATTAATATTGAAAAACATCCGAAATATTTTAAAATTGTCTAGCTAAAAAGAGACCTGTCACCTCAAAGTTGTATTTTTTAATAAAAATACTGATTTAATGAGTGGTAACCGTTTTTAGGACCAAAAATACATTTTTTCTATATTAAACTACAAGTGTTTTTGCACAAAACACTAGCCCCGTAAAATGCAGAAATTTAGAAGTGCTTCAAGTACTTTTTTTTTAAGTTGAAAGGGTTCTGCTGACATTGTTTTAAGACTTGTCTCTAATTTCAGAAGCATCAATATCGTCTATCAATTTCAACTACAAAAGAATTTTTAGGTAAAGTCTTTTCTGTGTATATTGGGCGGTATTGTGCAAAAATTGAGTTCAATCGAAAAATTGCTTCTCTTAAAAACCTTTTGCACTTTTCGGTACATATGTTGTCTTGATTTTGAAAATAATGAAACTAATTTTTAAATTGGTGAATTTGATTTGCAAAAGTGTGAATATGAATGGCAAAATGGTGAATTTGATTTGTAAAATGAGGAATTTGATTTACAAAATGGGGAATTTGACTGGTAAAATAATTAATTTGATTTACAAAGAGGTAAATTGGATTAGAAAATAATCCTTTTAATTTTCAAAAGTAAATTTGATTCATACAACAATGAATTTCATTTGCAAAAGTGTGAATTTGATTTGAAAATAATGAATTTAAATTTGAAAAGTGCGAATTTTATTTGTAAAATATTGAATATGATTTGCAAATGGGTGAATTTGATACAAAAGGAATGAACTTATTTTTGACAATTCGGAATTTGATTTATAAAATATTGCATTCGTTTTGCAAAAGTGTGAATTTGATTTGAAAATAACGAATTTTATTTGCAAAAAGAAAATCTGGCTGACACAAGGGTGAATTTCATTTGGAAACAGGTGAATTTGATTTGTAAAATAATGAATTTAATTTGCAAAATGGTGAAATGAATTAGAAAAATTAGGAATATGATTGGCAAAAGCTGAATTTGATTAGCAAAACCGAGAATTTAAATTGCAAAACAATAATTTTATTTGGAAAACGTCTATAAGTTGCTTTCCTTCTTGATCAATTGCCAGAAATGAATTTTTAACACCAACTTCCTATTAGCAAGAATGATAAACCGGATCACACAATCTCATAATATTCAGGTTTCAACCCATAAGTTTTTTGCCTGAAGATTATTTTAAACATAAACATTTTAAAAAAATTAAGTATAAAACATCAATTAACTCGGATTTGTCGTGTAAGCATATATATTTCAATATAAACGTTCTTTATGCATGTTTCTATTGTAACTGTTACAAGAAGGGTTAAAATTGAAGAGTACAACTCGACCGTCATAAACATGACAGGACGCGTTTTGCCTGTTTTGAATGTTTAATTGAAAAGGTAGAAGTACTGCTGAAGACAGTTGGAATCAATGGTCTCGATAGGCCATATCTGCATTCCTACATGCATTCGTCTTGGGTCTAAGGTTCAACAACTCGATCCAACCTAGACTTTGGTGTTAATTGTATATATTGAAGAAGGAAAGACAACAGAAAAAGCCCAAATAAATAAAGAGAGAGAAGTTATTAAAGGTATAACTAAAAATAAGAATTAGGATTATGAACTAATACTAATTATTTATTAGTTTACTCCAAGTGGAATGTGTATTTCTTTCTGATAACTGCGCTGTTTTCTAATCATCGAGTGACATCTACAATCCGCTGCTTGTACGTTTGTTTAAAAATATATAAATGAATATTGTAGACTACCAAATATCAGTGTTTTCTTTTCGGAAATTACCTTTGTTATTGCGGACCGCTTGAATAGCCGAAATGAGACTAGGCCCGGCTACGACGCCAGGCCCGTACTGTTTTCTTCCTAGGACGTTGGGGTTGAAGACTTGGTCGTTTGCTTGCTTGTAGCTGTCGCTGCGCTTCAGAAGGTTGTCCTGGCCGGTTTGGTTGATGTTGACGTACGCCCCTCGCGACTGATGCGGGCTCCCGGATCTTGCTCCGGCCCGGACTATCATCCTCGGCGAAGCCGCTCTCGCAACGGTGGTGATCGACCTGTTGTGCGTGGGAGAAACGAGCGGAGAGAGCGGTTTGGAAGGGATGTTCTGCACAGGGCTCTGGGGGAAAAACTGCTGCTTCTGAGCGCTCAGCTTCTTCTGGCTCTGCGGTGATAAAGGTCCCGACGGGAGTTTATTTGGAATATTTGACTCTTTGGTCTCGATGGTCGACGTCTTCTGGACCGGAGACGGAATTACCGTCTTTCTGTTTGCAAACAATTGGCTCGACGTGTTTATGGGTCGAACGTTGAAGTTCCGCTGAGGTACTGGACTCGCGTTGCTAGTCGTTGAAACGTAAGGCCCGGGTTCGAAGGTACTAGTCGTATGGAGAGCTTTTCTTCTTTTCAAACTATCTGAAGAGAAGACGACTTTTCCTTCTGCGTTCAACGTGACTCTAGCCCCTGTCCGTCTTGGTTCTGTCAAGCAGTCCGTCTTGGGTATGTCGTTCAACGAGACGTACTCCGTCTCTCTTTTCAAAACTGTTGATATTGTGTTGAATTTGACTGGAGAACCGGGCACACCTCTCACTTCCGCGATGGTCACGTATTCACCGGAATCTATGTTCCTGTATTGGTTCAGGCTGACTTCGTCGTCACTCTGTGGAGGAGTTATGACGCACATCGACGGTATCCTCGAAGTGTTGATAGTCGTCTTTTCCCTTATCCTTTCCACCCTGTCAATTCCTTCTAGATCCGAGCATTCGGACATTTCTAAATCCAAAGAAGGACTGGCGATAGAATCGACTGGCGAGCTGCAAGTATTATGACCGGAATCGGGTGAATCACCGCACTTTTCGGGTGTCTTTCTGTGTTCGTGGTGTACGTCGACTGTGATGATGCAGTTCCTCTCGTCGTTGATGTCGTGCTTAGACAGATTCTCTTTGGTCAGGTTGGACGTGGACTCGTTTATCTGTTTGATCTCCTGGAAAGTCAGCATCTTCATCTCAGGCTTCTTGTTAAGTTTGAGGCTCTGTGTCTCTCTAGGGTCTAAATACGACTTGTTCGTTCTTTCAGGGAGTGTCTTGTTTCCGGAAAGTTGACTGTTTATCCTTTCCGGGACGACGGGGGGCGAAGGGACGAGGAGGGTCGTGCAGACTGTTCCGGCTGAACTGGCCGTCGTCGACGTTGACCCTTTTCCAAAAAGTTCGTACTCACTTTCTGCAGTGAGTGTTGAAGCGTTCTGGCTGTTCACGGAAAGCGCGGATGTACAGTGAATCGGCGTACTTGGCTCCTCTTCCCTTAACGTTTTCAACCCCGAGTCCAAATGGAAGGACGTGTAGTACCCCTCAGTGTCGCATGAATACATTGAACACGTTTCACCGTCGTCAGGGGTTAACGTCGTACTTTCGCTCGTAATAGAAGAAGACGTCGACACCATCGGAGGCCTTTTATGCTTAGGACAAACACTTCCACTACTTATACTCGACCTGAGAAGCAAAATCAAATAATTAAGTTTTGAAATTAAAAAACGTTGATGATATTTAAATACCTTGGGATATGAGATGTGGCGGTAGAATGTCCCGACTCGCTGGAGGCGCTCCAGTTCCCGCTAGACGAATGCGGGTTTTCTTCTTTGTCCCATTTCCTCCTTCCTGAAATGGACGCGCCCCTCAGCTTGACAGCAGGCTCAGAGTTCCTTATTTGTCTCAGTCTCGACTTCCCCCATTCTTTGAGGCTCTCCAGATGGGACTTCTTCTCGAAGGCGGCCCCGTCGATAATGGATTTAACCAGCATAGTTTCAGTAGACGTTCTGCAAATAATCATTAAGTGGTAATACATTCGAGAAAAATGTATTTCGACCAACTTACCCGACGATAGCTTCTAGTTCTTTGCAATCCGTGCCAGCGATCGTGTTTCTTCTCTTTCCCCTCGGGCGTTTTCCTTTCGTCCTTCTCTTCACGGTGTCGTCTCCTGCCACGAGAGACCTTCTTATGCTGGACATCCTTTCGAAACTTTTACCCGTAATGTCGACAGTTACGATTTCAGGCGGGAACCTTTGACGTAAAACGTTAGTTATAAAACACCTATTTTATGTTCATTCTTGTAATTATTTAAAAGGGGCTTACTTGAGCGCAACTGCTTGAAACTGCTCCTCAGGCGATGGTAGCGTGTGGTCAGTGACGTCCATCTCCTTATCAATGACTTTAAGCGTGCAGTCTGGATCAACAGTCACACTACCGAGCGCCTCTGAAGAAGTCCATTTTCTCAATCCATTGATAAGTGCAGGCTGAAAAATAGAAATTTGTCAATCGTAACTGATTCTAAGACAACAAAAATACAATGTTTTTCTATTTGACGGTAATAGTTACTCACAGAAAAGCTAACTAATTTACTAGAAATTTTTATCTCCATCAAGCTGCATTGATCCATCAAGGACAAAAATTTCTAAGCTGGATTCCTCAGAATCCCTAGTAGAAGGGAAATCCTTTACACTAAACGTTAACGGTTAATTAAACAAAGTAGGTCTTTCCGATTGAAAACCATTTTTACAAGATATGCTAAATTAACGAAAGCATAGAACGAGACCAGCTACACCTAAAGTCAATTTCACTGTTTACAAAAAACCACCTGCTTACAAAGAAAAATGCAAGGACCTCAGGAAAATAATTACAATCTTTCTGTGTTAAGAATTTTGCTAATCTTTGTTTAATACTAGAAAAGTTCATCATTTAACAAAGCTGAAATTTATAGTTACTTTTGGTTCTGCGAGTGATGAATTGGTATTTTCCGCTCGTTTTGGTCTGTCTGGCGCGTTAGGGCATCTCGCCATAGTGCATTGTGTACGTATCATATTCCACTAAAGAAGATGGATTCGATAATCAGGAGAGAAAAAGGCGAATTTTTGCGTTTTTCCCTTAAACTTTCTCTCTCTCTCTCTCTCTCTCTCTCTCTCTCTCTCTATCTATCTATCTATCTATCTATCTATCTATCTATCTATCTATCTATCTACCTACCTATCTACATATTTATCTATCTAACTAGCTATCTCTTTATCTGTGTATCTATTTATCACTTTCTTTTTCTTTCTCTCTCTCCCCCTCACTTTCTCTCTATTTTTTCACGCATGTTATTTTTCTCATGCTATCTCGCCATTTCTCTAACCTCTCTCATTATATCTATTTGTCTCCCTCTCTTTTTCCCCTCCTTCTTTTTAAATTTGTCTCTGTGTCTCTCACTCACACTTACTCTCTCTTTTTATCTTACTTTTTACTTTCTTCTTTATTTCTTTCTCCCTCAATCTCTCTCTCTCTCTCTCTCTCTAACTATCTACTTTTAGATCTATCTATTCATTATTAGCAAAAATTTTTTTTATATTATCCCAATTGAATTTTACATTTTGCCATTTCTAGCGAGATAAACTACAAATTATAGGTAAAAATTGGTGCGATGTGCTTTACTGGACAAAACAATGCAAAAAAAGCACAGTTCAGCAAAAATAATCTGCTAAACTAGTAATACAGCAGTAAGGCATGAAGCTAGGTGGATATTGCCTAAAACATATCAATTCCGAGCCGCATCTGTAGGCTGTTAAAGAATCTGACAACAAACGGGTCCATGCTCATTTTGCCGCATGACTCTCCGGGGCCCATTCAGAGGAGGGCAACCTTTACTTTCCCACGGTCGACCTGGCTCACTTCTTTCCCGGCCGATGGTCCGTGACTCTCTGAACACTAGATGTTATTAACGTTTTATCGGTAGCGGTCGGCCTCCGGCAACGCCCATTGTCGGTCTTCCGGGCCCGGCTTCCGGCCAGACAAATTAAACGGAGGCCGCATCTGGTTTTCAACTCATAAGTCCTAATCAAAAAAGCAAAGTTTGCCTAATTGAAAACGTGCGAAATGAACGGAACGTGGAATCCAGCTTTAATAGTTTTTATTTGCTACAGCAGTACACGTGGTGGTAGTTACGTGTTTTCCACAATTACATGAGCTTTTCCACAATAAAAGAGCTTTACGTAATTTTAAAAAATGGATTTTGCGTTTTATTATAAAACAATATTTGCGGTCAGATGAAAGAGATTGCACAAAATGAAAGTTAAGCACTTTAACTTTGTAAGTCGCTTTCTCAGCACAAGGTTCAAAAACGCCGTGCTTGTAATAGCGAAGAGAACAAACAGCGGGGAAAAAAGAACACTTGAAATGAGGCCCGGTCGGCCTCGCTTTCCCGCCGGTTCAAAGCAAGGACGTTTGAGGGTCCCACAAAACAAAAGAATGAAACTGAAGAATGGCCATCTGCGTATCTGCCTCCTCGTATATCACAGTCATTACAGAAAAGAAAAAAAGATTACGTTTTAATTTCATTATATTCAGTTCAAAATCATCATGTTAGCTTGCCAAAAATTAACACATGAAATAAAACAATCAATTTAAGAGAGCTATATTTTTTTAAACGAAGATGCGCAACAGCAGAGATCATATCAACCCTCAGGGTGCTGGTGTTTTTGAAGAAAAAAAAAAAAAAAATTTGTAAGTATGTCGGGTTCGAAGCAGGGCCGCTGGATTCGAACCGGGGTCTTTAGGTGCCCCTACACTATCAAGCGGCTTGATCAAATGCTTGAGTAAATCGATTGTATCAAGCGTGATTGATAGTGTAGAAACCTGATTGACGCTTGAAGCAAGCATTGACGGTGATTGATAGGAAGTTTGAATGACTCAAGCAGATGATCAAGCGCCTTGATAGTGTAGGGCAATTTTCATCAAGCATTGCGTCAGTCACTCGGTGGAAGTCATGGCGTCCACTACCGAAACCGCGCTTCCCGAAAACTCGGAGCGGGAGTTCATCAGTTTGTTGATAGATTTATATCGTGATTGTCCCGAATTGTGGAAAGTAAAGAGTAAAGATTATTTCAATAAAAATAAAAAAAGTGCGGCGCTAGGGAAAATCGTGGGGGCATTGAAAGTGCTAAAACCGGATTACAATGTAAAGCAATTGAAACAAAAAATTAATGTTCTCAGAACAAACTTCAACAGGGAGTTCAAGGCCATCGAGGGGAAAAAAGTGTCAGGTACGTCTTCGGACGACATCCCTGAACCTTCGCTTTGGTATTACAATGACATGTATTTTATAAAAGTCCAGTTGGAAATCGCAAAGACCGAAACTTCTGAGGTTCATGAGTGAAGCTGTTTCTCAGTTTGTACCACTCCTTAGCCCACCGTCGTTTTTTCTTTTGCTGTTTTTTCTGCTTCAGGGCAACCAATGTTAAGACTAGGAAGCCCAAATGTGTATTTGAAACCATTCAGCACCGAAACAAAACAAAAAATCAAACAGCGAAACGCACTGCTCCACTTCACGGCTTCCACTCCGAAGGAGTTTTGACCGAAAGATTGAAGGGTTGATTGAAGCACGCTTGAAGCTCCCATCAATCGGAGGTTCAAGCATTTGATCAAGCCGCTTGATAGTGTAGGGGCACCTTTACAGTTAGAGCGCCGTGTCAACGCCTAAACCGTTGCGCCCCCAGCTATATATTATTATATTATAATATATTGTATAATATATATATAATATATATAATATATTATTATAGCTATATATTATTATATTATCGTTATTGATAATATTACCATATATATATTTTTAATCTTCAGGCCATTACATAATGGATTGGTAGGTGAATTGGCCAATCATTCTATTGAAAATGTCACAAACAATCTCACAATTATAACCGTAAAAAATGTAGAGATAATTGTCCTTACCAGGGACTATTGCATATTGGAAAAGCTGTCAAATGCACTCTGTTAGTTCCCAATTGGTAAATTGTGCTAAAGTGGCTCTAGTAATTTCAAGCCAGTGGAATATGATCAACAAGCCGCGATCGGGTAAATATGATTGATCATTAACAAGCCAGGCTACAATTGAAAAGAAAAAGATTTAGATATGTAGATTGTTAGTATCAAGAAACCTTTCTGAGAGATTGTTATGTATGTTGAACATGTACACGTTTTTATGTGATGATTTAATTTATATGAATCACAGTCTTGTCGATATTTAAAAATAATTTAGGGCGAGGAAAATTCGCAAAGAACCACTGATGTGACATACCTCAAGGACCTATTCCAATGATTTTTGGAAGGTAAAATAAATATTTATTATTAATTAGTTATAAATATTATTTGGGCGGATGGAAAGCGGGGTCTATAGGTGCTATAAATATGAAAATCAGCTGCTTATGTACGCCAATGAAGTTATTATTGATGAAAATCCTCATGATTCAATTAGATATAAATATTTAGAAAAACTTATTTTGACCAATATCGACTCTCCGTAAACTTGGAGAAATCTAAAATTGTGGTGTATAGACGAGGAGGCAGATTGTCCTCAAAGGAGTGATGGTGCTATGGAGGATCTCAAATTGAGATCGGCAATAGTTACAAGTATTTGGGTGTTATCCTTACTCTTCGCTTTTCTTTTCTGTCATATTAAAAGCAAATTTCTTCTGCTTGGTTGACACTCAATGGAGGGCTTATTTTCGCAAAACATGATCCCTTCATAAAAACTTTCAGTTTTTCATCCCAATAGCTAGATCAATTGACAGCTATTCTGCCCAAATTTGAGGATATCAGAGTTTTGAAAGACTAGAAAGAAATTAATTAATTGAAATTATTAAGATTTTTTATAAAAAATTTGTTTTCTTTGCCAACGACCCAATTTTAGGTTATTACTATAAACTAATATAGACTGCTGGAGATCTTCACATTAAAATTGTATTTCACGTACTGCTTTAACTTTCTAAATACATGTGGTGATTAGTGACCGTTAATCGATATTTATTTAGAAATCGTGAGATGCGGTCTGGTGTGATGTAGGTTTCAGAAAAACATTTTCTTTGCCGTGCCAACGTTTCGATCTTTATTGAGATCATCTTCAGGGCNTTGGCACGATAAAGAAAATGTTTTTCTGAAACCTACATCACACCAGACCGCATCTCACGATTTCTAAATAAATTTCTAAATACATAGGGACTAGTACCGCCGTCACGGTTCTTGTTGTATAAGAAACTAAACATTCAATCAAGGTTGTTTTCTGGGAATAAGTAGTTGGTTTCTTGGAGAGTCAAATTGACTGTTCAAATTGATAGGGGAATTTTTGAATGGAAAGGTTGTTTTACGGTTTAAGATTATTATTTGAGCAAGAATTTACCCAGTGTTCTTTATTTAATGTAAATTGTAGAGAGGTCGATCATCATTTGCAATACGTCCTGTTCTTGCAGATTTCTATTTTACGCGTTTC